TTTTTTACATTTCTAAGGTATTGCTACGGCGGCATGCGTAAGAGAACTGAAGCGCAGCCCCCTTCTCTCCCCGATTTAACTAGAGAAGCTGCGGGCAGCGTATCAAACATCAATAATTCCTCAAAGGGATCTTCATCAGTGAATAATTTTAAGGATATTTCCGTTAATGGTGAAGATAGTAGCCTTAGTGATCAGCGTCTTCGCTCGCTCTTCGGAGTTCAAAATGGTCTTTTGGCGGATGTCGTCCACGTGCTTCTCGAATATGCACATCTCATCCTGGGACCCCAGTTTTCCTCTCTCGCTCAGCTTGCCCAATATCTCGTAATCAATCGCTATGTCAATTCGAGATCGAAGCATGCTTTTGCCCTAATTGCATTTGCCGAAAATCAGTCTAGCTCGCCTTCCATTCCTTCTACTCATGACCTTGCCTCTTCTCTCTTTGATGTTCTCCAACGCGGTGAGTCTTTTGGATATTATGAATTCTTTATTTTGTAATTCACTAATCTACGTTTGTTCAGGTGGAAAGTCCCAGACTAGTGGAAATAGCGATAATATTGGTTCCCTTCCACTCCTGCCAAATCCTGAAGTACGAACTCGAACCCAGATTGTTTCCAAGATAAGTGGACAATCAAACACTCCTAACTCAAGTGTAAAAAAGGAGCCAGTGACGTTTAAGCCCGAAGGCAAGTTGACTTAAATCTATCAATCTTTACTGAATGGCTTTGTACTCTAAAATATTATCTTATCTGTTATTTCCTATAAATATTGTTTTCTCAATTTTTACCTGCTTTTGTGGATTTTAATAGTTATATTTCACCAAATTTGAGTGAAATATAATCCTTTTCTTTTGCATTGCTTACTTTTATCCTATTATTGCTATTTATAACAGCTATCCCATACTCATCTGGAACGCCCGATCGGCTTTCTCAGACTTCCAATTCAACAAGGACTTCCACCCCCAAGGCCTCTGATGCTCAAACCTTTCATGGTTCTCCTCTCACTACATGTAATAATGCACTTGGCAAAGTTAATCCAGTTTCTAATCCTACTGTCGATCCAGTTGTACCTCATATGATAAATACGTCTTCACATAATCCAGTTGAGAGTACATATTCAGGTACTTCAGCTGTCACAGCTGCTGCTGTTGCCGCAAGTGTTTTAACTGGCTACTCAGCAGCGCTGGCTGGCTATCCTGGATATTACCCCACTCAGTCTCCATATTCCAAGCAGTCTACTAATTCAGCCCAAATCAGATCTCAGGTCAGCTTTTATTCCACTTTAACGCGCAATTTTCGGTTAATTGTTTTTCGCTCATTTTTCATCGCACTTTCTATCATTGCTAGATGCCTCCATCATCTGAGACCGAAAATGCTCAAGACTCCTCCGCAGCAGTCGCATTGGCTGCCGCAGCCTATGCTGTTCATCAACATCAGCTTACTAGCACAAACTCTAACGCTCCTAATGCGCCCTTGGCTAGCCCTATGATTGCCTATAATCGGACTCAGCAATCGTTTACTCGTCAAATCAGTCCAGTTAATGCTGGCAAGACCTCAACTTTGGCCACCACGTAGGTCACACATTTTCTCTTACGCTTATCCTTTTCTAATCCATGTATTTCGCCTTGTTAATCAATCTTTGCATATTCTTCCATTCAGTTTTCATTCTTATTCTGGAGAAAGTAGTGCAAGCTTGGGCCATCGCTATAACGCAACACTTAGTCCCATTTCGGTCGGACAACAGACTTTCGGATCTTATACCGCACCACTTTCTGCCCACTCTGTTTTGCATCCTAATTTTCCGTCTGCCGGTACGCTCTCTTCTAGTCCTCGTTTGGCATCGCCCGTAGACTATTGTATTCCTGCTCCGGCTCACCCACCTCTTGGGGCAGGGCTTGGATCTGCAATGAGCCCTTACACACCTGCTAGGGGAGCACAGACGAGTGCTATTTCCAGTGTCGATGTCACTTCATCAACAAAACGGTTTACCCCTCCTCCAATCGATGCACCTGGAGCCTATGAACCATCGGTATTACTTCATAATCTAATTTTTTCTTCTCTTTCCGTATTTCAATTTCATATTTTTCCCGTATATATATATATATATATATATCCTTTTTCAGCCTCGGTTTCATTTAGGTGGTTCGAGTCCAAATAAACGGCCTCGCTATTTTCATGGGCATCCAGCCTCAGTATCAACTGCTCAAAACATAGATATATACGATCTACCTGTCCCCACTTCCAGCTTTACGACAAAATCAAATGCAATTTCGGTCTCGTCTCTCGAATATAATGGCTCAAAGACTCCCGAAGTCCGACTCCCTAATCGAGGCGCTTCTTTTTATTCTGGAGGATATGAAGGGCTAGGAATGTTTAGTCCTGCACCTGCCCCTTCATCTCAATCTCACCTTTCTACTTCTCCTTTATCTGTTCTTCCAGTTTCCTCCCTCACGCCTTCATTGCCTCATGTTTCTAGCTCCACTCAACCGTCATGGTCCCAGTTTTCGTCACGACAAGAAGATTCCTCATGGAAGGTAAGAGTTCGTATTGGCTGTAACAACTCACTTTCTCTTTTGCTAGTGCTTATACTAACTTTTAAAACTCCGATTGTTGATATTTCATCATAATGAGTTGATCAGCATGAATATTGGGTTATTTTGTTTTGAACTTTTAGTTAGACCTCGTCTGGGGTCGGTTGAAGTCCTAGCGTCGCCTGAATCTCAGCATCCAGAGATCCAAAATCAGGTTGGGCACAGTGGGTGGCGGGACAGCTGTGCCTTTCAAGGCGTCCTTTCCTCAAATCATATTTATATTAGACATAATGTTGAGCTAGTTTCGAAGCAGTAAATTCTCTATTTGCAATTACATTTGACGTGATCACTGTCTATAATGAATAGATTTCTAAACTGCCTGTAGATATTTAAATGAATAATCTAGTCACT